AGAAGAAGAAGAAGAAGAAGAAGAAGAAGAAGAAGAAGAAGAAGAAGGAGGTTGGTCAATTACGATCACTGCAAAATGCGCCCGCATATAGTCCTGGGGGGACCCAACCCCGGGGTTTGGGGGATGCCGGAGGCACAAAGCTCTCCTCAGCTGTCCTAACCCAAGCCCGTCCACGTGGCTCAGTCACAAAAACAAGGTCATGCCAAGAGCACAGCTAGTCCTCAGTTTACGACGGTTCATTTTTAGCAATCGTTCAAAGTCACGATGGCACTGGGAAAAGGGGACTCGCGGCTGTTTTTTTTTTTCACTTAGCAACCGTGTTACCAGTTTAAAAACTGCAGCGATTCCCTTAACGAACGTGGCAAAAAAAGTAAAAATGGGGCAAAACTCACTTAATAAACTTTAGCAACATCAATTTTGGGCTCCGCTGTGGCTGTAAATCGAGGACTACCTGTATGTGTCTCCTTGAAGTGACTTTTCTAGCTGGAGGTAGTCTTCGACTTACAACAAAATTGTAATTCTCTCGTTCAAAATTCATTTAGTGACCATCTGAAGTTACTATGGCACCGAAGGAAATGACCTAGGACCATTTTTTACTGTTGCAGCATCCCCATGGTCACGTGACCAAAATTCAGAAGCTTGGCGGCTGACTCCTATTTATGACGGCTGCAGTGTCCTGGGGGGGAGAGTCATGTGATCCCCTTTTGCAACTTTCTAACAAGCAGCGTCAATGGGGATGCCAGATCCGCTTAACCGCCGTGTCACTAACTTATCAATGGCAGCAATTCGTTTTAACAACCTTGGCAAGAAAGGTTGTAAAATGGGGCAAAATTCACTTAACAGGGGTCTCGCTTAGTAACAAAAATCTGGTTCTCCATTGTCATCATAAGCTGAGGGCTACCTGTACAGAGAAGCCCACGGAGAGAGGAACTGACAGCTTTGCCGAACTGCATTCGGAAGTTACACCTTTTCTAATCTCCTGATGAAAATAATCTGCCGGTGTCGAAGAGCCCTGGCACTTAGAACTTAGAATAACTTTATTGTCACTTTGAATGTACAATAATCGGCGTACATTAAAAATGAATTTTTCACTTCTTATCTTCCTCCTGCACTTTCTTTTCCGGTTGAGGGCTTCTTTGAGGCGGCCATTTCTGACCACCGCTCCTACCGCCTTCAGGAAAGGGAGTTTGACCAGCTGAGGAGGAGAGATGCGGCTCTCCTCGACCCTGCTGGCGATCTCCCCCCTTTTCACCATCTCTACGGGGTGGCTTAGCCCCGAAGCCAGCTGGCTCGGGGCGCTCCAGCGGCGAGCCCAGGCAGAAACCGCGCACGATCGCGGGTTCCTGCCTGTCGCCGAAGCCCTGCAAACCGGAAGTCACCATACCAAGGGCCTCCATTTCCAGTATACGCTACATGAACAGGACAAAATAAATAAATACAAAATTATGCACATATACCCACACATATTCTATGACCCGGGGAAACAATACAGTCTAATTTGGATGTCTACAGGTACATGGTGAGAGAAATGAATCTTGCAGGTTTACCAGAAGGATGGCCTAGGGAACAAAGCTGGTAATCCCGCTACAATTACTTTGAAACCTCCTCCCAGAGGGGAACAATAGAAACAAGACTGTAAACTGGGTGTGTGGGATCTCTGACAATGTTGGAGCGCTAAGCACCTAGCACTTATAAGCAGTATCTTGAATAACGAGAAGTGAGCTTCCTATGATCTCCACTGTCCTTACCACTCTCTGTATGGACTTTCTATCTGAGGCACTGCTGCCACCAAACCAAACAGGGATGCTCAAGGTCCCCATTTGCAGGCCTGGCACCCCAAAGGGAGAATCCCTCATCCTGAGCCAGCAAGTTTCCAAGTGATACATTTACACAGACTGCCGGGCCCCTAAATGCCAAGTTTTTATATTTCCCACTGATAAGTGCAAGACGACTTACCATTTATTTACAAACTCCTGGAATTCTTGGGTGAAAACCCCAGTCGGCAGTTTTGGAGGTGGCTGAAATAGACAGGGGAAAAAAAAAAAATTAAGTTGAGGAGGTTCGGGAAAAGCCACATCAGTTTAGGAAACAGCCTTCAACCAATGGACTGACTTAATGACAGTGGCATTTGCTTAATGACCACTGCAAAAAACCACTGTAACAGACAGGCTCCATTGTGGTCATAAGTTGAAGTCTTTCCTGTATGTTTGGAGAGATTTGAACACGTTTATGTACAAGGATGCAATCCCAATAAACAGGTCCTTAGCTCATTCTAACATCATCGAGCCTTGGGAGGGAGTAAACATTAAGGGATGAAAACTGATGATGATACCTAGTTGGGTTATGAAACGTCTGCAAGAAAAGAACCAAGCTCAGAGAGCACCAAGGACCCCCACAGCTCAAACCCAAGCTACAAATAATCTCTTCTATTTGGATAAAAGCTCCTGGTCCCCACTGGTCAAGAAGGAAAGCCACAAGTGATAGGGATGGAGAAAACTCAGCGTGGTTTGGGGCCTAGGCTCTGAAGTCCCCTTGTTCTTCCAAATCTGACAACGCTCCTCGTTGGTTCATCATCCAAGATCCCAAAGAACTTGGCACATTAATAAACTAGCAGCAAAAGTCCTCTTTCCCAAAGTGGCCTCTCCACAGAATGGGATCAGGGGTGGGTGGGCCATTCTTTCTCTCTGTGCTGAAAGGATAGAGTCCCAAGGGAGCCACGCAGTTTCCAGGGACTCAGTCATGTTGCTTTCTTACTTCCGATGTATGTTTATTTCCATTTGCACCCTCTTCATTCTATTTCTGTCTCCGTGAAGCCCAAACAGAACCCATCAACTCTGTGACCCTCCCTTTCTATCTCTCGTTGGTCCACAACAAGAGAAATTTCCCGGTTTCCTTCCTCCTTTCAATTTAAGAGGCAAGACCGTGGACATAAATCTTTATTTTCATTCATTCTTCTTTCCCATCTTCCTTCATTCTTTCTTCCTTTCTCTGTATTTTCACCGAGACTGAAAATGTACAGGCGTGCGATTGAACTGTTCCCATTTTACTAGCGGCGCCTTATTTTTTACACGCAATTAGACATGAACGAAGGGACGCACGCGGTGGCTCAGCTTGTTGATCAGAAAGGTCAGCAGTTCGGTGGTGCGAATCCCTAGCGCCGCGTCAAGGAGTGAGCTCCCGATACTTGTTCCAGCTTCTGCCAACCTAGCAGTTCGAAAGAAGGTTAAAAAAAAATGCAAGGGACCCCTTTGGTGGGAAGGTAACAGCGTTTTGTGCGCCTTCGGCGTTTAGTCATGCTGGCCACATGACCACGGAGGCGTCTTCGGACAGCGCTGGCTCTTTGGCTTTGTAACAGAGATGAGCACCGCCCCCTAGAGCTGGAAATGACCAGCACATATGTGCGAGGGGAACCTTTAGACATGAATGACACTGTGGTGGAGGACAGATTAGACCAGTAGTCCCCAACCTTTCTAGCTGGAGGAGAGGGGATGGTTCCATGCGAGTGGCAGGTGCCCGCACTCGTGGGTGTGACTCCGTTTACACAAGCAAGTGCACGCACATCATGCGCGCAAATAAGAGCCTCGCAAGTGAGCACCTGCCGCTTGTGTAAACGGAGCTGCCATTCGCGAGTGCTGGCTGGCCATGTAACTGGAGCTGCACATGCGTATGTGCTGGCCTGCTGCTGGTGCAGCTCGGTTCAGAATAGGCTGCGGCCCAGTATTGGGCTGTGGCCTGAGGGGTTGGGGACCCCAGGATTAGAGACTTCTAACCTGTGGACACAATGAAGTGGGGTAACAGACAAAGCTTAAACTGGTTGGGAGCTTTTATTGGTGAAATAGGTATTGACAGAAAAAGGGAAGAGAAGGGAACGCAGAGCAGGCTGGGGCACCCGTCAATCCTGAAGCTGGCTTGGCCGAAGCCCTCTTGGAGCCTCAGGGCTGCCACAATGGAGCTGAGGGTTAGGGAGAGAGAAGACTGGAGATAGCTGGGGTTGTGTAGTCAAAATAAAATACCTCCTCCTGGGAACCAAGGACGTTCCCACACTGACCGGAGGAAGGAGGAGTGATGTCAACCAGATCTGTGGATGCTGCCACGATTGGGTTATGTGACTTGATTTGTTTGGCTTTGAGGGAAAACCTTTTACTTTTAATTAGGTGAAAACCAAGGGGCCCCCTCAGAGTTTGGTCTTCACCAGATATATGCCAATATGATATTTCCAATCAAGCTATTCTTTGAGGAAATCTCCTGCCTGAGAGTTTTTGCTTGCAACGGGTCTAGTACAAAGGTCTCCAAAGTTGGCCACTTTAAGACTTGTGGACTTCAACTCCCAGAATTCTCCAGCCAGCTATGCTGGCTGGAGA